AGTTTGCCCATAGATAGAAGTAGTGCACACTGCACCCTCCTCACTGCACACAGCCCACCTTCAAGCCTCGGTGACCTAATGGGGGTGGACCCCTTACTGCACACGGCCCTTGCCTTCATGGGAACGGGCCCCTTGCTGCGCACTGGCCACCTCCTGGTCTAGGTGACCTAACAGGGGGTGGACTCCTTGTTTCATTGCTCACAACCCTATCACTATCCTTAAAGATGATTTCACTCACTGCCCTGCGCCCTAACCTATACACAATACTCATGCTTCTGGACATTCGGGGCCTCGCCTGACTCCGCTTATAGGTAGTGTGGCCCCCTGAGCCCAGCTGTGTTTTCCTTGTACTTCTGTGTCCTGTCTCTTTATTTCTCAAATCCTGTGCCTCAGCACAGCATAAGGTTCACCCCACGACCCTGTGGGCCATCAGCCCTACATAATTTCCTAAACTGAGTAGGATACTCAGAGTTGTTCATTATGATTTAAACTGTTCCTGTGCATACCATATATTTTGGTATGTATATCTCACACACTCATACAAACACACACAGGCACAGGGACACTTGTAAAGAAACACCTGAACAAATACTCTCCAGCTGAGCCAGTCAGTGCCTGATGGAAATGCTGCTCTGCAGCGATGAGGAAGTCAAGCAAAAGACGTTCATCTGTGATGTTCCAGAACACACACATTTTGCACAGCTAGAAGAAGAAAGTTAGGTCATCTCCCCATGTAACAGTCTGTGTCCCTTATAAAGAATCTCTTTATAAAATCCTTATAAAATTGTTTATCTGGGCCGGGCGCGGTGGCTCAAGCCTGTAATCCCAGCACTTTGGGAGGCCGAGGCGGGTGGATCACGAGGTCAATAGATCGAGACCATCCTGGTCAACATGGTGAAACCCCGTCTCTACTAAAAATACAAAAAATTAGCTGGGCATGGTGGCGCGTGCCTGTAATCCCAGCTACTCAGGAGGCTGAGGCAGGAGAATTGCCTGAACCCAGGAGGCAGAGGTTGCGGTGAGCGGAGATCGCGCCATTGCACTCCAGCCTGGGCAACAAGAGCGAAACTCCGTCTCAAAAAAAAAAAATTGTTTATCTGAATTTCTTCAAAGTCCAACCAGACTGCATCCCATCTTCTCCATACACAGAGCCTCTGACCACCTCTGGTCCACATGACATCACACTTAACTTCCCCTATGGCTTCTGTGAAAAGCTCATCACCTGATTAGATCATAAGCTCCAGTAATCATGGACATGAGTCCCCGTGGGCTTTCAGTAAATCCAAGTGTATGACTGTAATGTCTATGCGGCTCCAGCTTCCCTTCTGTTCTCACCTTCTTGGCACTAATGCAGGCTTGCTGCAGGCAGATGCCAGGTGTGTAAAGTGCAGAAGAAAGACATCAGTCCCTCAATCTCTCCCAACCCCCTTTCACAAGTCTGTAGCCCAGGAAAAATATGTAATATGGAGCCACCAGCAACAAGCTGTATGATTCTGGAAAGTCACTTACCAAAGAGACTACATGGTGCCCCATCTTCAACCTGTAAAATGGGATCATCATATGGTACACCTACCCTAATTGCATTGTGAAAACAGTAAGAGTCAATGTGTGTAAAGCAGACATACTAGGCTTGGCTTCCCAAGTGTTAACTGTAATTTCAGGTCCACAACCCCCTCACATGCAATTCCAAAAGCCAAATATGCTTTAAAAACTGAACTTTCTTTCAAAACTTTGCAACAAACTTCGGCAGCTGAACTTGAACTGATGTGAGGCTCTTCATAATGTCTAATTTTGTTACTATAAATGTCTATACATTTTGTTGCAGAAATTCTGTTTGATTAAGGGGTGCATCCATATGACTGATAAAACAAACATTCCGACTTCTTCCCCAGGTCCAGCCAGGTTTGGGGCAAGAAGCCTGATTTGTGTTACCATTTCACAGTTGCTTCATCTCTCAGCAGTTTACCACCTTTTCCTTCACTGTGCTATAGGCTGGCTCCATCCACTTACTAACATCCAGACTGACAGCCTCCAATCATTTGGAGGCTTATGCCTATCCTCAGAGCCTACCAAGAACTTGCCCTGGGTCACAATCCAACCAAGCTCTGATATAAAATCAAAGTCATTCACAACCTGGTCCCCAGCCTTATCCCCACACAGTCCCAACTAGGCTCAGACCACTGCTGAAGGGTGGTCCAGCCTCTTCTCGTATCCTGTCTCACTCAGGGTCCCTAATCTGGCCAGACAGCTTTGCTTGCTTCGTGTGTGTTGTGCCTTTTGCCTGGGGCGCTATTCCTGCAATCAATGTCCTTCTCCATCCATCAAGCTTCCAATCAAGTCTTCCTCTTATCACAGCTTTCACCACAATAGACTAAAATAAGTCATCCACCTTCAAGTTGACCCCACCTCTGTATCTCCAGAAGGAAACATGGCATCTGGCATGCAGTAGACCCTTAATAAATACTTGCTGAACCAAACTAATCATGCCACAGAGCCAGATGGCCACACTCTAGGGCACCCCATCCCTCTCAATCTGCAGCAGACTTTCATTTTCATCTCTACTATTTGGCTTTGAGAAAACTATTTAGAAAAGAACCAGAAACTCTTGATATATGATTGACCCTAAAATATACTCCTGAAAGAGTCTCTGGAACCACGTACAGAGATATCTGTCAGTGAAGAGTCTAATACAGTCTAATACAGTGAACTCAACCAAGTCAGAGGGGGATACATACGTAAGAAGCTCAGCAGAAAGCCATCCTACCTTTCAAGAGTCTGCAAACTGTGCTCGCCAGGCCCTCCATCCCCTCACATGTGGCTCCTCCATTTTTCTTGCCCTGCCTGAGACAGCCAACAGAGGAAGAGGACACGGGTAGACAGTACCCCTACATACCATGCAAACACCCAAAGGGAATAATGTCTAGACAGAGGTAGTTGGGCAGCCACACTATCACTTTTTCATTCGTTTGGCAAATATGTGAATTATCTACTGTGTGCTAGGTATATATGCATAAAATTGCAACTATGAGAGAGCTAAGAAGGAAAGAAAGTGTTGATAAGAATCCATAAAATGGAACCTGACCTAGTCAGGGAGGCCAGAGAATATCTCCCTGACGAAAGGATAACGTAATAGAGAAATGCAGGAAGAGTAACAATTCCCTCAGCAGGTAGGGAACAGCACCCCAGGTAAAAGGCACAGTACATGAGAAGAATGCAAAGCAGTCAGACCAGAGTAGGGAACCTGCGGGACACAGGGTAGAAGAGGCTGGACCAGCCCGGCAGAGCCTTGAAGGCCCTGTTAAAGATAAGACCAATGGGAAATTAAAAAAAAAAAATTATAGGCAGAGCATAACACAATGAAGGTTGAATTTTAACAAGCTCATTCTGGCTGCAGTACAGACAACTGAGAGGGCAGGACCCAAAGCAGATGCAGGGAGGCAAAAAGTCTAGGCAAAAGGGTGGGGCCTATGGGGAGAAGCGGACACACCTGAGGAGGATTTAAAACGGGAAACCGTCAAGTCTGGATAACTGGCTGCGGCGGGGGCAGGAGAGAAAGCCTATCAAGGAGGCCTCCCAGATTTCAAGCCCCTTTTGGCTGGAACACAGAGGCGCCATGGACCAAGCCTAGCAGCACTGGGAGGAGGAACAGACGGTGGTCACGAGCTGCCCAGACGTCCAACTGGACACCCTCACCTGAACAGCAAAGAAAAGGCACCTTGGCGTGAGACCCGGAGCTCCCCAGGCCACTCCAAAGGGTCCCGGGGTTCAGGGGCGGGAGGGAGGGAGAGCTGCTGTTTAAAATGTGAATTTCTCCAAGGAAAGACAGGACAACTAAATGCTGTCTTGGAGCCTAAATTACAAAAAGGAAACAGGTGGGAGTAGAGAAATTTTAAGACTGTAGGTGTTAATGTCCTGGCTTTGCTGACTGTTCTGTAAAGTAAGATGTTAACCCCTAGGAAAAGTGGGCGGACGGTACATGGAAATTTCTGCTTGTTTTGTGACTTTCCTAAATTATTTCAAGATAAAAATTCTTTCTCAAAAGACATTTAATAGACGTAACACCCCAAAGTCGAGCCAGGTGCACAACAGCTCAGGAAGCTTTTGTGAGATACGGAGGCTCCCTCCCTTTTCTCATCTCAAAAGCGAGAGAAAAACGAAAACAAAGACCCTCAGAAACCTCAGCGGCTTCCCAGGCGGACGCTCAGAACGGCCCGGCCCCACCCCGTCCCGGCGCGGAGCCGACCCTCCCGGGGGCGCGGTGCGGCTCGGCTCGGCTCCGCCCCGCCCCGCCTAGCCCCGCCCCTCCCCGCCTAGGGTGCGCGATGCGGCCCGACTCGGCTCCGCTCCGCCCCTCCCCGCCTAGCCCCGCCCCGCCCCGCCCCGCCCCGCCTAGGGGGCGCGATGCGGCCCGACTCGGCTCCGCCCCGCCCCGCCCCTCCCCGCCTAAGGGGCGCGATGCGACCCGACTCGGCTCCGCTCCGCCCCGCCTAGCCCCGCCCCGCCCCGCCTAGGGGGCGCGATGCGGCCCGACTCGGCTCCGCTCCGCCCCGCCTAGCCCCGCCCCGCCCCGCCTAGGGGGCGCGATGCGGCTCGGCTCGGCTCCGCCCCGCCCCGCCTAGCCCCGCCCCGTCCCGCCTAGCCCAGCCCGCGCGCCTCCGGCCGCCCGCCAGCCCCGCCGGAGCCCGGCCTGGCCCCTCCCACCGCGCACTTGATCCGACCCTCTTCAGCCCGCCCCGTCCTGGCCCCGCCCCCCGCTCAGGCCCCGCCCCCCGCTCCGCCTCTGGCTCAGCCGGGCCGGCCTCCGGCCTGGCACCCCATACGCAGCGGGAGCGCCCCCTGGCGGCCCTCTGAACTCGGCGCCCGGTAGCCCATTGTTCCACAGTCTGCGCACAGCAGTGAGGACTAGCTCCTCGGACGCCGTAGAGAAAACGCAACATCAGGCCAACCGCTCCCCTACTCAAGCGGAGCCCTGCCTGCGGTGCAGGCACAGTGATGTCTACCTGCGCTGGCCCAGACGGAGCCTCGCGATCCTGATCCGGACGATGAACCGCGCGGAACAGGAGCGCGGCGCCAGCGTTGGCGTCGGGCGTCACGGCCGCGCAACGTCCGGCACGAGAGTGCTCGCCACACCTCGGCCCGCCTTCCGCGCCACGCCCCCGGGCCAGGCCACGCCCCGACCCGTGCAACCATCGAGACGCCGGGACCTCCGCGACGCCTAGAGGGACCCCGGAAATGCCTGCCTGGCCGGAACGGCAGCAATAACTCCGCCCACCCCCGTGGACCAGCTCTCCCCGCCCCGCTTCCTTACCCTCCCACCCCTGTCCTCCTTTTTTTTTTTTTTTTTTTTTTTTTTTTTTTTTTTTTGAGACGGAGTTTCACTCTTGTTACCCAGGCTGGAGTGCAATGGCGCGATCTCGGCTCACCGCAACCTCCGCCTCCTGGGTTCAGGCAATTCTCCTTCCTCAGCCTCCTGAGTAGCTGGGATTACAGGCACGCGCCACCATGCCCAGCTAATGTTTTGTATTTTTAGTAGAGACGGGGTTTCACCATGTTGACCAGGATGGTCTCGATCTCTTGACCTCGTGATCCACCCGCCTCCGCCTCCCAAAGTGCTGGGATTACAGGCTTGAGTCACCGCGCCCTGTACTTTGAAACTTTCTTCCTTGCTAATCGGGACAGCATGGGGACTTTCTTTGTCTAGGGTATTGATTCTCAAATGTGGCCCCAAGCTAACCTGGGGAAATTGATGGAAATGCGAATCTTGGGACCCCACTCCAGGCCTGAGGGTGCGCCCAGTAAACCAAGCCTGAAGGTAATTGTGGTACAGACTAGGGCTTGCAAACCACTGCTGTGTGGCAGGGTTTCTCAACCTCCACTCGACATTTTGGGCCTGGATAATGGTTGAGAGGGAAGGAGGCTGTCCTGTGCATTGCACGAGGCCAGGGTCACTATGAAATACAGTTAAATTTGAATTTCAGGTAACAGTGTTCATCTAAGATTCACAATTAACTGGAAATACCTACCTATATTTTTACTTGGTAAAAATGGAACCTTAACTGTAGGTTAGTGAGCATCCCTAGCAACTGTATGCCAGTAGCACGCCACACTCTCCACTCTAGTTATGACAAATGTCTCCCCCTACCCCTTGAAAATCACGGCTCTACAAGGACTTTGTCCAGCTGAACCTAGCATCCCATTAGATATACAGGACAGTGTGCTCCACAGAAAACTACTTTGCCCTGAAAGGCTTTGAACACAGAAATCCCTGGGACCAAACCCTGTTAACATTAAAAAAGAGGGCCACTTAGTGAAGAGTTTGTATTTGCTTCTACATCCTGACACTTCACAAAGGTTTTCTGGTCACTGTAAAGTGTGGTCCAGAACACCTGGATCAGAAGAAAACAAAATAAATCACGCTCATTTGTGAGATTCTGGAGCAAAGGCCACATACTAGTTTGTCATCATTCATTCCACATATAAGCAAATTGAGGAGACAGATGATGAGCCCTGGGGAAGTGGGAGTGCTACTCTAGGTAATGTAGGACAGTGTTTCTAACTTGCTTTGTTCCCCAGATCCTGCGTCTCCTCCATTCATTCAGTCATTCATTCAACAACAGGTGTTAAATGAGTGTCGTCTCTGTGATACACTCCTCTGGGCAGTGCTGTTAGAACAGTGAAAAAAAAAAAAGAGGCAAAAGAGAAAAACCCTCTTGTCATGATGCTTACCTTTCAGTGAGAGAACCAGACAATAAACAAACAAAATATATTGTATGTCATAGTGGAAAGTGCTAGGAAGACAATAAAGCAAGGGAAAAGGATGAATAAGACTGCTGTGAATTCGGTTTTAAATAATTTGATCAGGGAAGGCTTGGTCAGTGAGAAAGTTGTATTTGAGGGAAAAGCCAAAAAATATGAAGAGCAAATTCCCCATGCCAAATTCAAGGGGAGAAATACTTGAAGCAGAGAGAATGGCATGTGCAAAGGCTCTGAGGTGAAGCAAGCCTAGCGGGTTTGAGAATGGCTGGAGACAAAAGAAGGAAGAGAGAGTCAAAGAAATGAGGTCAAAGGGAGTGAGTTAAACAAGGAGTAATATACACATTTAGTGGGATTGCTGCCTGTTTCTTCCAGACCTTTATAAACTAGAGAGAATTCTCACTGTAATTTGGATACTTGCATATGTAATTTAAAGTTAATAAAAAAGGACCAAGTTTAAGTGTTTATGGAGCTGCAAAGAGCCCATCTAGACATTTTCAGTGCATTGCTTTGAATTAATCTACATTTAAAAACAAAGTCAAATCTTAAAAACCATGTCAAATTTTGGTTAAAAGAAAGAACTGCATAATAGGAATTGGAAAAGAAAATTAGCCCATTAAGCTAGAATCCTTTGATGAACATACATATTTTGAAATTGTCTTTGAGAAATAGGCTAAATAAGCTTTAAGAAAAAAATTGGAAGAAAAATATTTAAATTATATGTATTACATTATGAGTAAATTTCATAAAAGCCTTGCAGCCTACTTTGTTTATAGATACTATCTTGCTTTAAGGCATTATCCAATTTTTTTTTTTTTAATGTATAAAAAGATTCCAGACATGGTGGCTCTGCTAGGGGGTATGTTTTCTGGGCAGCCCCCACCCGGCCACCCAGGCCAAGCTTCGCTTTTTCAGGCAGCTCCAGGCACTCCTAGACCTTCCAACAGTACTTTGGTGGATGAGTTGGAATCATCTTTTGAGGCTTGCTTTGCATCTCTGATGAGTCAAGACTATGTCAATGGCACTGATCAGGAAGAAATTCGAACTGGTGTTGATCAGTTTATCCAGATGTTTCTGGATATTGCAAGACAGACAGAGTGTTTTTTCTTACAAAAAAGATCTGTCCAGAAGCCAGAGCAAGTTATCAAAGAGGATGTCTCAGAACTAAGGAATGAATTACAGCAGAAAGACACACTAGTCCAGAAGCACTTGACAAAGCTGAGGCATTGGCAGCAGGTGCTGGAGGACATCAATGAGCAGCACAAAAAGCCAGCTGACAGCCCTCAGGGCTCCCTGACCTACCTGGAGCAGGCATCTGCCAACATCCCTGCACCTCTGAAGCCAACCTGAGCAAAGGGCAAAGGCAGTTGGACCGTGAGTGGGCTGGTGTGTGAAGTTGGCCACAAATCTTTTCCTGTGGACTTGACATTTTGAAAGAATTCTTTGCCAGATAATGAGTTCATTTTAGTTTTATGCTCCCATTGAAAATTTTTCCACTTTTTTTTTTTTTTTTGAGATGGAGTCTTGCTCTGTCACCAGGCTGGACTGCAGTGGCACAATCACGGCTCACTGCAGCCTCTGCCTCCTAGGTTCAAGCAATTCTTCCGCCTCAGCCTCCTGAGTAGATGGGACCACAGGCATGTGCCACCACACCCAGCTAATTTTTGTATTTTTAGTAGAGACAAGGTTTCACCCTGGCCAGGATGGTCTCGATCTCTTGACCTTGTGATCTGCCCACCTCAGCCTCCCAAAGTGCTGGGATTACAGGCATGAGCCACCGCTCCCAGCCCTCTTCTACTATTCTTATAAGCTGTTAATTTCTTGAGTACTTTATAAAGGGTCTGTAGCTTGGATAAACCAGATAAATATTTTTTGTGTCTTTAGCAAAGTTTTGACTGTGAGTGTGATGACCCAATTTTTTTTTACGGTGGTCTTGCTTGCTTTAAATTTTGTTTGACTTTTCATCGCTTTATGTGTGTTTCCCATAAATTTTGTATGACTTTTCATCGCTTTCTGTGTGTTTCCTTTGATCTGAAGGAAAAAAGCATAATAGCCTGAGAATTAGGAGAAAGGGATTTTAGTTGGCCTTATGATAATTATCCCTCAGTGGTGATAGAAAAGTATATAAATTTGCTGTTTTTAGACTTTGGACTACCTCAAGAAGAGGAATCTAATACAATATTTGTAATGTTTCCAGAGCTCTCAGAATGAGCATTTCTTTTTGTATATAGGTCAGAATAGGATTGAACTATCTTGGGTTAGTGCAGTAATCTTACAGTAGGATCCTTAGGTTGATGCTGACTTCTATTTGGGGTATGTTTATATTTTATGTGGTGTTCGCTTTTTCTTTGATAAGGAGGGATGTAGTGGTAGAACTGATACGCTAACATTTGTTACATTCTGCAGTAATGAATCCATTTAATGAGGCAGACACTGTTTTCAGTAGCCTGACAGTGGGGCACAGGTGAGCTAATGAGGGGCTAAAGCTTGCTCTGATTGTCTATTTCTGTTTTGAGTTTTCTTTGCATGTATCATTTTTGTTTTACATTTTGGGAGGGGAAACCTTTTCCACTAAGGAAGGTTGTTGCCAATGGATTTGACTCCAAGGGACTAGTGTCACAGTGGAGGTGGGGAGGGGATGCACGGTGATCATTGGCTACTGAGCGTCCACAAAGAGCATGTGGCGCCTCTGCCTTTGGAAGGATATGTTGCTCTCTTGTTAGTTTTGCAGGTAACCTTGGATTCCCTGTTGAGTTGCTGTTAAGAAATGGAGACCAGCGTTTTTTTCTGGCTCTCATTGGTTAGGTTTTCTGAGTTTTATAGTCAGTTATTAGAGCTTATTAGATCACATCTCTTTACCAAGAACAAATGCTTCACTATCTTCTGACTGGCAGTACTCCTGTGGCTCTGTGACTTGCCTCATTTTATTTTCTTCAGCCTTGAAGGCCGCTTCCCACATGCACTGACATCCACTTGTATACCTGGTCCCTGAAGCCTCCCAGCACCTGTTCTGTTGCATCCTCAAGGCATGGGACTTTGATCGCTTCTGCTGCCTTTGCTAGGTTCTCCCTGGTGGGTTAGAGCTTTGTATCTGTCTCTCTGCCCCTCACAATTGTAATTGTGGTTTCTTATCTACCCTAATTCAATGATGCTAATGAGAATTAGACATTATTCCCCTTACATATATAGGGATCATATAGTCTTTTTCTTTTTGTTGTGTGTGTATATGGTATCTGGCACATGGATCTGTGATTAACACCTTAACACCAACAAATCCCCTCAGTTAGGATGTATAAGTTAAACAAAACTTTGAAAAGCTCATATGCTATTACCTCAAGGTTGTTAACCGGTGATCTCCTGGTAATTAGAAACTCTGATTGGCAGCTTTATATTTCTTGATTAAAAACCTAAATAAACTGATTAGGTTTTAGGTGTTCTTTTAAAGAGTTTCTTGATTAAAAGATTGAGAACCATCCTATTTGGAGCTTAGTGAAAAGATTTTGAATTACTGTATGTAACAGTTATTGCCATTTCTTTTTTTTTTTTAGACAGAGTTTTGCTCTTGTTACCCAGGCTGGAGTGCAATGGCGCGATCTCGGCTCACCGCAACCTCCGCCTCCTGGGTTCAGGCAATTCTCCTGCCTCAGCCTCCTGAGTAGCTGGGACTACAGGCACGTGCCACCATGCCCAGCTAATTTTTTGTATTTTTAGTAGAGACGGGGTTTCACCATGTTGACCAGGATGGTCTCGATCTCTTGACCTCATGATCCACCCGCATCGGCCTCCCGAAGTGCTGGGATTACAGTCTTGAGCCACAGTGCCTGGCCTGCCATTTCTTTATTAAATTCAGAATTTTTTTGCCAAATAACAATTTTTCCAAAAAATGCATAAAAAGAAGAGGAAAATGGACTTGGGGAATTAAACTTATATATTAATTTCTGTCATTTAAATCAACCCATCACCTAGGTATTAAGCCTAACATGCATTAGCTACTTTTCCTGATGCTCTCCCTCCCCCCAGGTCCCTGACAGCCCCAGTGTGTGTTGACCCTTCCCCCATCCCACTGCTTCCCCCATCTGTGTGTTTTCATAGTTCATCTCCCACTTATAGTTGAGAACATGTGGTGTTGGGTTTTCTGTTTCTACATTAGTTTGCTGAGACAGTGGGGTTTTCTAGATATATGATCATGTCACCGGCAAACAAAGATAATTTGACTTCCTCTATTCTACTTGAATACCCTTTATTTCTTTTTGTTGTCTGATTGTCCTGTCCAGAACTTCCAATACTATGTTGAATAAGAATGGTAAGAGAGGACATCCTTGTCTTGTGCCAGTTTTTAAAGGAATTGCTTCTACCTTCTGCCCATTAAGTATGATTTTGGATGTGGGTTTGTCATACATGGCTCTTGTTATTTTTAGGTATTTTCCTTCAATACTTAATTTATTGAGAGTTTCTTAATATGAAGGGATGTTGAATTTTATCAAAGGTCTTTTCTGTTTCTATTAAGATAACCATGTTGTATTTATCTTTAGTTCGGTTTATGTGATGAATTACATACATTGATTTGTGTATATTGAATCAACCTTGCATCCTGGGGATAAAGACAACTTGATCATGGTGGATAAGCTTTGTGATGTGATGCTGGATTTGGTTTACCAGTATTTTATTGAGGATTTTTGTGTTCATCATGTTCATCATGAATACTGGACTGAAGTTTCCTTTCTTTGTTGTATCTCTGCCACGTTTTGTTATCAGGATGATGTTTGTCTCATAAAACGAGTAGGAGTCCCTCCTTTTCAATTGTTTGAAATAATTTCAGAAGATATGATAACAGCGCCTCTTTATAACTCTGGTAGAATTAAACTGTAAATCCTTCTGATCCTGGGCTTCTTTTTTTTGTTTTGTTTTGTTTTGTATTGTTTTGGATGGTAGGCTATTTATTACTGCCTCAATTTCAGAACTCGGTCTATTCAGGGATTCAGCTTCTCCCTGGTTCAGACTTGGGAAGGTGTATGCTTCCAGCAATTTCTCCATTTCTTCTAGATTTTCTTTTTTCTTTCTTTTTTATTTTTTTTTTTTTGAGACAGAGTTTCGCTCTTGTTACCCAGGCTGGAGTGCAATAGCGCGATCTCGGCTCACTGCAACCTCCGCCTCCTGGGTTCAGGCAATTCTCCTGCCTCAGCCTCCTGAGTAGCTGGGATTACAGGCACGCGCCACCATGCCCAGCTAATTTTTTTTTGAATTTTTAGTAGAGACGGGGTTTCACCATGTTGACCAGGATGGTCTCGATCTCTTGACCTTGTGATCCACCCGCCTTGGCCTCCCAAAGTGCTGGGATTACAGGCTTGAGCCACCGCGCCTGGCCTAGATTTTCTAGTTTATTTGCATAGAGGTGTTTATAGTATTTTCTGATGTTGTTCATATTTCTATGGCATCAGTGGCAATGTCCCCTTTATCATTTCTAATTGTACCTGCTTGATTCTTCTCTCCTTTTCTTTTCTTTATTAGTCTAGCTAATGGTTGGTCTATTTTATTGATTTTTTTCAAAAAAATAGCTCCTGGATTTGCTGAGTTTTTGAAGGGTTTTTCATGTCTCTATCACCTTTAGTTCCACTCTGACCTTGGCTATTTTTTGCTTTCTGCTAGCTTTGGGGTTACTTCTTTTATTTGTAATGTTAGGGTATTAACTTGAGATCCTTCTAGCTTTTTGATGTGGGCATTAAATGCTATAAATTTTCCTCTTAACACTGCTTTAGCTGCATTCCAGAGATTCTGCTATGTTGTTGCTTTGTTCTCATCGGCTTCAAATAACTTCTTGATTTCTGCCTTTATTTCCTTATTTAGCCAGGAGGCATTCAGGAACAGGTTGTTCCATTTCTATGTAGCGGTGTGGTTTGGAGTGAGTTTCTTAATCTTGAGTTCTAATTTGATTGAACTGTATTCTGAGAAACTGTTTGTTATTATTTCAGTATTTTGCATTTGCTGAGGAGCATTTTACTTCAGATTATGTGTTCAATTAGAGTAAATTCTGTGTGGCGATGAGAAGAATGTATATTCTGTTCAGTTTGGGTGGAGAGTTTTGAAGATATCTATCAGGTCCACTTGATTCAGATATAGAACTATAAATACCATTTGACCCAGCAATCCCATTACTGGGTATATACCCAAAGGATTATAAATCATTCTACTATAAAGACACATGCACATGTATATTTGCTGTGGTACTTTTCATAATAGCACAGACTTGGAACCAACCCAAATGCCCATTGAAGATAGATTGGATAAAGAAAATGTGGTACATACACACCATGGAATTCTATGCAGCCACAAAGAAGGATGAGTTCATGTCT